GATTTTTACTGAGCTCACAGGATTTTTAATGAGCTCACTGGATTTTTAATGAGCTCACAGGATTTTTAATTACTCACTTAGATTTTTAATTACTCACCTAGATTTTTAATTAGTTCACTTGACGTTTAATTACTTGACTAGTTTTTCAATTACTCTTCTGGATTTTTAATTAGTACACCATTGTGTAATTGTGTTTGAAGAACTTCATGCAATTCAGATTAACATATATTCATTGACTGCTTGTATTTTTTTACTTTTTCGCTGGCGATATAATCTCATTCTTTGAATGACTAATCATTGGCACTCGACTCTTATCTTATCTGCCGTGACGCACTTCCGTTGCATTTGTACGGATTTACACCTTAAAAAAGTTTTACTTCAATTAATAAATCCTACTATCTCTCCACCCTCTATCTTCCATATGTAACAGCTCGTACAGAGCGTTCGCACGAACGAATTTCAAATAATAATAATTCAAATATATTCGTTTTGAATATAAAATTTACATACTTCACATTTTAATGCTCTCGACAGCCAGCAGAGGAATGAGGTGGAGGGTTGAAAATATCCCTCCACCGTCGTCGACATTGAATGATGATGGTTCGAGCGAACTATGTTACAATTTATTATGAACTGCGTTATAGTTCAACTCGTTTTATGACTTTTACAATGAATATTGTATTATAGGTGGATGAGGGTAGTTGTAGTGGAGGACGGGGATTTGATTGAGAGGGGCCAGAATGGAATAAAAATTATGATTTTATAATAAATAAATAAATACGTATCCCAAATTTCTCGATTGATCAATAGTCCGGTGGTGATACATACACGCATTTGATATTATTCCGGTAAAAAGGAAATGATCCGGTGAGCAATTCGCATCGATAAACTCTCCACCGCAAACATCGCTCTTGGAAAACATCTCTCTTTATTTATAAACTCGTACTGGGGGCAAATAAAATATGTGATCGTTTTGTGTAGGGGAAACTGGGGTGATGTGAATTTTGAAAAAAAAATAGATTCATTGAAAAATGACAAAAAAAGTTTACGCAATAAGATAGTATCTATTAATCACGTAATCATTTTTTTAAGCATATTTGCAACCCCTTGCTGATTTGTGGTGTTATTAAAAAATTAAGTATGAAACCGAAAGAAAGAACTCGACTACTGATGAGCAAACTGAATTAAAAAGCACGAAATTGAAAGAAAGGACTCTACTGACGAGCAAACTGAATTAAAAAGCATAAAATTGAAAGAAAGGACTCTACTGACGAGCAAACTGATTTAAAAAGCATGAAATTGAAAGAAATGACTCTACTGACGAGCAAACTGAATTAAAAAGCATGAAATTGAAAAAATGGGTTCTGCTGACGAACAAACTAAATAAAAAATCATGGAATTGAAAGAAATGACTCTACTGACGAGCAAACTGAATTAAAAAGCATGAAATTGAAAAAATGGACTTTGCTGACGAACAAACTAAATAAAAAATCATGGAATTGAAAGAAAGGACTCTACTAAAGAGATTTATTTTTTATCAACTTGGAAGCATTTGAGTCTTTCGGAGCAAAGAAATTCGAAAACGTCCATATTGAGGACCACCCTATATATATAATAACACATAAATATAATGTTCAGTAGTTAAATTCGATGTTTCCAAAGAGAAAAAGTTAGTATCTTTGCGTTTGTTAATGCTTTTTTCATTGAGTGTAATGAATGCTGACTCTGCAAAGCGTCTTTGGAGGATACTCGATTCGTGATAAAGAAATTTTTTTGAATAAATTAAAACATAAACTTAATTACGCAATAAATTAGATTAAATCTTATTTAATTAAAAAAATCTTTTTGAGAATGAGCTCAAACTTATAAAATTTATAGTCAAACTTATATAATATTATAGTTACAAAATTTGCATTACGAATTATCAGATCCTTTTTATGACCCTAAAAAAATTTGACTTTGGAAGATTTTTTAGCTGTAATATTTTAGTATGATCTATAAGACTATGGTATCTATCTGGTAAAAAAATCAATAATGTAATGTTGAGTAGTTAAATTTAATGTTTTAATCAAAGAGAGAGAGTTAGTATCATTGCGTTTGTTAATACTTTTTTTAGCGTAATGAAAGCTGATTCTGCAAAGCGTCTTTGGAGGATACTCGATTTGTGATAAAAAACTTTTGGAAAAATTAAAAAATATATTCAATTATGTAATAAAATTAATAAAATTTTATTTACGAATTATCACGAATTATCCTTGAAAGACCTTGAAAGATTTTTTTTAGAATCCGTTTTCATACCTATGTGTATGTATATCCATGTATATTTCTATCAAATTCCTCGTGTGGGTTGTTGATTTAGTAACATTTTCAGCCTCCACCGTTGTTTATGTGGCGCGATGCTAAAACACTAAACTGCTCTTCGGTTTTCCCGCTTTTACCGCCGTTACCGCTTTTACCGCTTACCGTCATTTCGGCGAAAAAGCTGTACGAATCGGCCCTACGGTGGTACTTAAGGGATTAAAGAAAAAATGACTTCGAAAAATGTATTGGCATGTGTTTATATATAGACACGGTTTGTAATGGACATGGGGGTAAAAGGGATATATATATATATATATATATATATATATATATATAAATATATATATATATATATATATATATATATACTAGGTGACCCGAAGGACGTTGTCCTGTACCCATGTCTACAATTCAAAAGTTTCATTTTTTGTAATTTTTGCCATTTATTTCTACAATAACACTATAGTTTTATCGTTCATTAAATCTTAAAAATTTCCTTTATCAAACTCTAGAAAGATTTATCAAAATCCGAATGACCGTTTAGGAGAATTTTGTCTAAAACACTTGAAAATTTGATTACGAATGAAATTTTGATACTATCTGGTTACATGTACCTACCACATGTAATTAGTGCGAATAGGGGATGAGCTCGTGTTCTAATTCCAAAATATTTGCCGAACTAATTGCTCGGAACGTTCTTAATCCTCCATTTGTTATACTTAAGCACCTCCGTTCGAATATTCGAAAACCGCCAAAATAATATATTCATTTTAACGCAATTTAACAAATTTACTTCCCGTAGGGTATTATAGTCGTCAAAAAATGAAAATTCTTGTATATCTTCACGTTTCAGAAGTTTCTGAACATTTTGGCATACCTCAGGAAAAATTGATATGTGTGTGTGTGGCAACAATTTTTCGTCGATAATTGTAGGAGCACCGCTGAGCCGATTTGAATGATTCATTTACCATTCGATTCTATTGATAAGGAGATGTGTTGACTAGTTTTGGGCAAAGGCAGGTCCAGCAGTTTTAGAGATACAGAGCAAAGAGTGCAGAAAATATAAATAAAGTTTTTGGGAGAACGGAGCATACGATTTGAATGATTCAAAAAAAAACATTCAATTTGTAATGATGGGGAAAAGTGGTGGTTAGTTTTTGGCAAAGGCAGGTCCAGTCGTTTTGGAGATACGGAGCAAAGAGTGCAGAATATAGAAATTAAGTTTGTGAGAGAAATAAGCATCCGATTTGAATGATTCAAAAAACATTTTACTTGTATTGATGTAATGAAGATTTGATTGAATTTTTGAGAGAGCAGGTCATGTGATTTCGGAAATCTAGAAAAAAATTAAAAATCAAAAACTTTCTAGAATTCTAGAATTTTAAAAATTTTCGAAATTTTCAAAAAAAATCTAAGTTTTGAAAAATATCATTATTTTCAAAAAAGGCATTTTTTTCAATATTCACATTTTTCAAATGTTTTCAAAATTTTCAAAAATGTTCAAAAAAAAATTCAAAATTAACAAATACTTTATAGAAATTTCAAAATTTAAAAAAAAAATTGAAAAATTTTTAAGAAATATATCATTATTTTGAAAACAGGCATTTTTTTCAATTTTTTTCAATATATACATTTCTCAAATATTTTCAAATTTTCAAAAATGTTAAAATAAATTCAAAATTATCAAATACTTTATAGAAATTTCAAAATTAAAAAGAAATTCAAAAAAATTAAAAATTATATCATTATTCTGAAAACAGGCAGTTTTTTTTCGATTTTTTCAATATAATAAATACTTTATGGAAATTTAAAAATTAAAAAAAAAGAAATTCAAAAAAATACCATTGTTTTGAAAACAGACATTTTTTTCAATTTTTTCAATATTATATGTATCAAAAACTTTCTAAAAATGTTCAAAGAAAAAGAATTAAATTTACAAAAACTTAATTTTATAAAAAAAATTTACAAAAACTTAATTTTTTTGCAATTTTTACAACATTCAAATTTTTCAAATATTTTCAAATATTTTCAAAATTCTCAAAAAGAATCTAAGTTTTCTTTTCTAATATCTAAGGCATGATGCCATACACCACTAGTTCTATTTTTTTTTTTCAAAAATGAATGTTTTTTTTTTTTAAATGAGGTATAAGTTTAAAAAAGCCTCAATTTTTTAAACAAAATGTTTACAAAAAAAAATTGTGTTAAAATTATTTTCTGCAAATTAGGGACCTAGTTTTTTAAAGTACCAGATTTTTTCAAGAAAATGTCGATTTTTTTTAATAAAATATCACAAGTTTATAAGAGTATCTTTAAAAATTGAAGCAGTGGTATGCAGAAGTATTCTATTAACTTTTTTTTACATACGATTTGCTTCTGCAAATTCTGTAAAGCAAAATGCTATTTACTTTTGTATTTTATTGTATATATTTTAATACTATTTATTTTTATATCTAATCCAATTAAAAATTCTCAACTTATATAAATATATATTTATTCAACAAACAAAATATACATTTTGCATGACTATCCCAAACATACATAGACATATGTTAACGAAACAATCAAAACCATATCATATTCATTTTTGTATTAACTAATAATAATTCATTCAAATAATCACTATTTCATATTTTATATAATTACAATAAAATATCACATCTCGTTGTAGAAATTGAAGAAAAACCAGGCATCAAGTTTTTCTTTTTGTATATATAAAAATTAAATTATACATCTTCGGTTTCTTCTGTTAATTGTGAGGACACCCAGGCTAGGCCCCATTTTAAATTTGTTAACATAAATTTTAAAGCTTTTGTCCATTGTTCTTCTGAATTTAATTGTATCCTGAAAAAAATAACAGAAATAGTTTTTACAAAATTAATATTTAATAAGGGGGAAATTCTGCCACATAAAATAGCGTTGTCATGGCAACATTATCATCTTACACTTGTTTCTTGTTAGTGAAAATGTGTAGTGCGATCAAGTGCATTTTACATATAAACTAGTTAAATTTATGTTTTATTAGAATTTTCTTTAAAAATTTGACTTTTATCCCTGAAAATTTGATTTTTTTTCCTAAAAATTTGATTCCCTACTCTGAAAATTTTATTTTGCCGCCTAGAAATTAAATTTTATTCCTTCGAAATTTGATTCTTTTCCAGGAAATTTAAGTTTTATTTCCCGAAAATATGATTTTTTCCTCTCGAAATTTGATTTTTTCGCCCCGAAAATTTGATTTTATTCCCTCGAAATTTGATTTTTATCCCCTGAAAATTTTATTCCCACTCTTCGAAAATTTTATTACCACTGCCTGAAAATTTTATTTTATGCTCCTGGAAATTAGATTTTTTTGCCCCGAAAATTAGATTTTTTTGCCCTGAAAATTAGATTTTTTTGCCCTGAAAATTAGATTATATCGCCCTGGAAATTTGATTTTATACCCCTGAAAATTAGATTGTCCTTCGAAATTTGATTTTTTTGCCCTGAAAATTAGATTAAATCCCCCTGGAAATTTGATTTTTTCCCCCTGAAAATTTGATTTTATTCCCCTGGAATTTTTTTTTCGTGAAAGTTTGATTTTTATCTCCTGAAAATTTTAATGCCCTTTTTGAAAATATTATTTTCCTCCCTGAAAATTTGACTTCTTCCTGAAATTTTTTTTCTAAAAATTTGATTTTTCGCCTCAAAATCTGATTTTTTCGTCCTGAAAATTTGATTTTATTCCCCTGGAAATTTGATTTTTTTTTCGTGAAGGTTTGATTTTTATCCCCTGAAAATTTGATTTTCCTTTCCTGAAAATTTTAATGCCTCCTTTGAAAATATTATTTTCCTCCCTAAAAATTTGGCTTTTTTCCTTGAAAATTTGATTTTATCCCCCTGAAAATTTTATTTTTTCGTCCTCGAAATTAGACTAAAAATTTGACTTTGTTTCCTAAAAATTTGATTCTACCCTGGAAATTTGACTTTTTCGCCTGATAATTTAATTTTCCTCCCTAAAAATTGGATTTTTTTCCTAAAAATTTTATTCCCCTGGAAATTAGATTTTTTCGCCTGAAAACTTTATTTCCCTCCTTGAAAATTTGATTTTTTTCCTAAAAATTATATTCCACCCTGGAAATTTGATATTTTCCACTAAAAATTAGACTTTATTCCTTTAAAATTTGATTTTTATCCCTCGAAAATTTGATTTATTCCCCGGGAAATTTAATTTTATCCCCTTGGAAATTTGATTTTTTCGCCCTGAAAATAAGATTTTATACCCTTGAAATTTGATTTTATTCCTTCGAAATTTGATTTTATTCCCTCGAAATTTGATTTTATTCCCTCGAAATTTGATTTTATTATCCTGAAAAATTGATATTTACTTCCTTGAAAATTTGATTTTTATCACCCTGGAAATTTTATTCACACTCCTTGAAAACTTAATTTATCCCCCTGAAAATTTGATTTTTTTGCTTAGAAAATTTTATTTTTATTACCCTAGACATATGATTTTTTCGCCCTGAAATTCAGATTTTATCCATGATGTTTACAGTAAATATCATTTACCTAATTGAATATGTATTCCCTGTCGCAGAATCCTCAATTTTGCCCCTATCCATCCTGTAGGGTAAACAAAAAGCAGAATCGCCCTTCTCGACTTCTTCTTTAAATTGTTGCAAACAATCCAAAAATGCAACCATAGCTGCATCAAATTTGGTGTCCCACAAAAACCTAAAGCCTCCTGAACCATACAAGGGCAACTCTTTGTGATCAGCCAAAACCTAAAACAAAAAAAAACTCATAACATATTGCAAACTTATCCTAATATTTCTATTCCTTTACCTCTACGTAAGAATGATTCCCATAAGGAACAATTTTGTATCGCTGAAATGTCAGGTTCATTTTCCTAGCGAGAGATGTCAGTAGTAAAGCGGTTTGACCCCAGGCAGCATTGATTTCAGACCAGTCGACAGGTTCCGATGGCAATCGTCCCAACCGAAATTTGTTTATGGTCCCAAAGTGTCCCGAATGCCAAATGTGAAATGTCGCGTTGAAAACATTCGTTTTTTTTAATTTGTCTAAACGGCTTTGGGCGTATGCTAGTTGGCAGTCTATACTGTAAAGGAAAAGGATAATTTATATATATATATATATATATATATATATATATATATATATATCTACATATATAAAAATAAGTCGGGTTTTCCTTCCTGACGCACGAACCGATATCGACAATTTTGCATTTGTTGGAAAAATGCAAAAATAAAACAATAAAATGTTGGACCAAAAAACAAAAAATGTGGTTTACCAAAGAGCACTTCAATGAAACGGATAATTTGAGGATTCACTTTCATTAACTTAGAGAAGTTCAATTAAAAAACACTTCATTTTTGTAATCGAAATAAATTCATTACTGTTGTGCAATAAAATCAAATTTTTTCTTTTCAAATTTAAAACAAACAAAAAATTTCTTCATCTTTCTCATAAACCGTCTGGTGACGAAACCGAGTTCGTCGGGTTTGCTAGTATGTATATATATATATATATATATATATATATATATATATATATCCTTGAACTGGAACTGGGTATATCAGATTAATTGTTCTTATTGCGAACTTTTTTATATGGGAAAAACTAGCCAAAACCTGAGTAAACTCCTTCATAAACGTAAAAATAACTAAAAAAAATCCCAAACAATTCAAAACAATGCTAACCGATCATATTAATAATTTAAACCATAATATAGATTTTTTCAACCCAAAAATTTTACATTTTGAAGAGAACGTAATTAAAAGAAGATTCACTGAGGAATTCGCTGAGAAAAAAAGGACTCTACTGACGAGCAAAATATAAATCGGCGTAAAAGTACAGAAAAAGAGACTCTACTGATGAGCGAATTTAATTTTGATCTTAGGGATAAAAAAAAAGGCTACTGACGAGCAAAATAAAATCAAAAGAACAAGAAAGAACTCTACTGACGAGCAAGCTAAATAATAAATATTTTTTTCATCAATGATTTTATAACAAAAAGGAACTCTACTGATGAGCAAATGTAAATGACACTCTTTAAAAAACAAAGGACTCTACTGACGAACAAAATAAATTTTTATCTTCATAATAAGAAAGGACTCTACTGACGAGCAAAAAACTGAAAACAAAGAAGAAAAGGAAACTTTACTGACGAGCAAATGTAAATAACACTTTTCTACAAAAAAAGGACTCTACTGACGAGCAAAATATAAAGTTTGATCTTAATGATAAAAAAGGATTCTACTGACGAGCAAAAAACTGGAAGCAAACAAAGAAAAGGAAACTCTACTGACGAGCAAATGTAAAAAAACACTTTTCAATAAAAAAGGACTCTACTGACAAGCAAAAAACTGGAAGCAAAAACTGGAGCAAATGTAAATAACATTTTTCAACAAAAAAGGACTCTACTGATGAGCAAATCATAAAATTTGATTTTAATGATAAAAAAGAACTTTACTGATAAGCAAAAAACTGAAAACAAAAAAAGAAAAGGGAACTCTACTGATGAGCAAATGTAAAAAACACTTTGCAACAAAAAATGGACTCTACTAACGAGCAAAATTAATTTTTATCTTAATGATAAAAAAGGATTCTACTGACAGCAAAAAACTGGAAGCAAAAAAAAGGGAACTCTACTGACGAGTAAAAAATCACTCTTAAACAAGAAAAAGGACTCTACTGACGAGCAAAATATAAATTTTGATATTGAGATTAAAAAAGGACTCTACTGACAAGCAAAAAAGAAAAGGGAACTCTACTGACGAGCAAATGTATAAAACACAAAAAAAAAACTCTGCTGACAAGCAAAATATAAACTTTGATCTAGAGAATAAAAAAAGACTCTACTGACGATTTAAATTATATCAAGGCTAAGAAAGAGACTCTACTGACGAGCTATAGCAAACATTTTCGTATATTCATTATTGAGTAAATTCTTGCGCCATCTGTGATAGCAGACTTGTAATTTTAATTTATAAATATTTTTAAGTGTCATAATATTTGAGTTCACAAATGCAATTACAGATGGTGCAAGAATAAATGGTAATAATGAATATTCGTAACTTTTAATTGAACTGTGGACTATCTGAATGATAATATTAAGCGCTAAAACTTTCACAAAATTTTCTTTTATCAATTTGGAGCCATTTGAGCCCTTGGGAGCAAATAAATACAAAAATGCCCATATTAAGGACCACTCCAATATATATATATTTATATTTATATTCATATTTATATTCATATTTATATAATATTTTACCTAATATATATATATATATTATTTTTACCTTTTATATTCATCTTCTGTCGTCATAAGCTCATGCCTATGTTTAGTATACTCTCGCCAATAATGATTCTCCTCTTGCTCCAGCCGTTCTTTTTCTTTTTCCTTCTCAGCAATTTCCTGCAACTGTTGCATCTCTTCCAATTTCAAAGCCTCCATTTCCGAAAGTAACCTGGATTCTTCATTCTTTAAATCTGCCAGCTCTTTTTCTAAAGCTTCTATATTCGGATCATCCTGGGCAGACTCTAACCTAAAAAATAATAAAAAATAATAAACAAAATCTGTTAAAGCTAAAAATATTGTATGAATTTTGGTACTGACTTTTTTAAATACTCGTTATATTCATTACATTCCGTCTCTGTTATTTTTAACTCTTGGTCCATAAGTTCTAGTAATGAATCCGTGCACTCGTCACATAGAGGGTGATCTATATTTGAGTTTTCTGATAAAGTATCGAATAATTCAGCTCTAACCTGCAAAAGTATAATCATTTTTTATAATCATCAATTTCTTCTTCTATTTTTAAAGTATTTATTATTGCTTGCCTTTAAAAAATGTCCTAAAGTTTCTGTTTCTCCTGCATCGGAGATGAGCATGAAGCCGTTTGCACCATTGCCGGAATCATGTAATCGAAAAGGGGGCACATAGTGATCTAAACTGGCTGCTTGGGATTCTAAGTCTACTTCGGGGTTTACGTTTATGGGCACTGGGAAAAAAACACAAGTCAATAGAAATAAATATTAGTATCAAAAAGTTTTTGTTGAACAATTTGTGGAGTCTTTGTCTTGATGAAAGAGTTACCTTACTAACCTTAACACAAATTATGTGTGTAAGTTTATAAACAACAATGACTAAGCACATACTTAAACTAAACATAGCAATTACCAAAAGCAATACATATATATTAAAATGTGTATTTTATATAAATATTTCTATTATTACGTGATAATTCAGCTAAAGTGTGCTCCCCCAAAACATTGAAAGTCTCGTCCAATTTTATGGGCTGCAAACACCTCTGGCAGGCGAAATTAACAATACATTTAGAATCTACCATCACGAATTAGTTTTAATTAACACTTTGTGAAACGAATTACGTATTTAAAATGCATTCTAATTTAAGTTTTTTCTTTATTTTCTCAAAGTTTTGACAAGAACGTCATTGACAGTTGTTAACACACAATGCAAATGTCAAAACAAGCGTGAACTAAGCGCCAAAAAAAAGGCGGGGTATTTGAATTTTCAATTTGGAATTATTTATAATGCAAATTATACTGTAATATTTTTGTATATTATACTTTTCGTAATAATAATAATAATTTTCATTAATATTCATATACCTTCTTCATTTTTTCTATGTTTTCTTAAAGTTTTGACAAGAACATCATTGACAGTTGTTAGCACACAATGCAAGATGGCGGACAAAAGAAAAAGGCGGAAAGTATGAATTTTGAATTTTGAATTATTAATAATGTAAATTATACCGTAGTATTTTTCTATATTATATATTACGTAATTAGAATCATAATTTTTATTAATATACATACATTTTCTTAATTATTTCTATATTTTCTTAAAATTTTGACAAGAACGTTTTTGACAGTTCTTCACATTTGACAAGCGTGAACAACGTTCCAAAGATGGCGGACAGGGTAAAAACAAAGGCGGAAAATTTGAATTTTAAATTTTGAATTATTAATAACAATTTTTATTAATATTCATATCCTTCCTCAATTTGTTTTATCCTCAAATAGTACTAGGTGTAACTGGCACTTACCATAAAACCATTACCCAATCTTTTCTATCCGAATCTATTTAAAATTATCACTAATTCCATTATCTAAAGCAAAATAAATAAATTATGTTAACAAAGGCGATTATTATTGTTGCTAAAGTTTATTTAAGAACCGATTGTAAATGTAATAAAACAGATTCTATCATTATTTATACAACTTAGTTGATAAATAAAAATGCGATAATATAATGCGTACGTGTACTCTTATCTCTTGTTTATATTTGTTTAATGGGGAATCCTTTGTTTTAAAATAGTTAGTTGCACAATGTTTATTAAATTAGTTGTTGTACTTGTGATCTGGCTTGGACAACTTGATATCAAGCGGTAGTAAAATCATATTATAGGTAAACAGTATTAAATTAGTTATTTAATTTGTATCCGTTGATTTTGGTTCCTCAGACAGCTCGATATTGAGCAGTATATTATATTTACATTAGATTTAAATATAGATTTTTATTCGAATTTGGATTTTTATGTGTATTTAATTTTTTTGTAAATTTAGATTTTTATGCAGATTTTTATTTTTTAGATTTATATTTTTATTTAGATTTTTGTTTAATTAGATTTAGATTTTTATTTATTTAGATTTAGATTTTTATTTAGATAATTATTTAGATTTAGATTTTTATTTTTATTTAGATTTAGATTTTTACTTAAATTTATATCTAGATTTAATTTTTACTTAAATTTTTATCTAGATTTAGATTTTTATTTAAATTTTTATTAGATTTTTATTTATTTTTATTTATTTATTTTTTTTTTTTTTTATTTTTTAGATTTTTTTTTTTTTTTAGATTTTTATTTATTTTATTTTTATTTATTTAGATTTTATTTTTATTTAGATTTTTTTTTTAGATTTTTTATTTGATTTTTTAGATTTTTGTAGATTTTTATTTACTTTTTTTTTTAGATTTTTATTTAGATTTTTATTTTTTTTTTCGATTTTATTTAGCTTTTTATTTAGATTTTCTTTAGATTTTTTTTTCTTTTTCTTTAGATTTAGTTATTTATTTAGATTCAGATTTAGATTTTTATTTAGTTTTTACATTTTTATTTAGATTTAGATTATTCAGATGCAGATTTTTATTTAGATTATTTAGATATAGATTTTTATTTAGATTTTCATTTATATTTAGATTATTTTAGATTTTTGTTCAGTTTTATTCAGATTTTTATTTAGATCTTTATTTAGATTTATATTTAGATTTATATTTAGATTTTTATTTAGATTTTTATTTAAATTTTTATTTAGATTTAGATTTTTATTTAGATTTAGATTTTTATTCAGATTTAGATTTTTATTTAGATTTAGATTTTTATGCAGATATCAAGCAGTAGTAATATTTGATATACCAAATATATTTTTAACAAAATCATATTTTTTGTTTTCATTAAATTCAAACAACTCATTATCTTTAGTCAAAATATGAAAAATTTATTTAAAATTTAAAATCTAACTTTTTTTAAATGAACTAATGATTTTTAATGAAAAATAACAACTAATATAAATACTTCAATAAAATAATTTATTAATTGAATAAAATATATAGGTTTTGATAAAATAATCTGAAATTCAAAGAAAATATTAAAAAATTAGGCAAGAAATTGAAGTAATATTAAAAAAATATAGGTTTTAAAGTTTTAACAAGAAAAATAGATATTTAATTATTTTTTTAATAATAACTTTACTATATTTATATTTAGGAATACAATTTAATATTTGGTACAATAAACTTTCAAAACTTAAAATCAAATTAGGATGGTCATTATTATGGACATTTTCAATTTTCTTTGCTCCCAAGGGCTCAAAAGCTTCCAAATTAATAAAAAAAAATTCTCTGAAAGTTTTAGCTTTCAATATTAACATTTAGATAGTCCGCAATTTAATTAAAAGTTTCGTATATTTATTATTAAGTAAATTCTTGCGCCATCTATGATAGCATACTTGTAATTTAGATGGCAATTTATTACTGATAATTCAAAAATATCCATATTAAGGACCACTCTATAATATACAATTTACTCAGCCTAATATAGGCTTAATAATAAAAATAAACTTTAATTTAAACATTAAACTTTAAATAAACAAACATATAAAAAATATAATTGCTTACATAATACTAATAAAATTTTGAGATTTTTTAAGAAAAACATATTTTTTTTAAATTTGGAACTTAGGAAATTAGAACAAATCCAATAATACTAATAAAATACTAATAAAACACTAATAAAACACTATAATAATACGTATAAAATTTTAAGATTTTTTAAGAAAAACATATTTTTTTAAATTTGCAACTTAGGAAATTAGAACAAATACAATAAAGTATAATTAAAATGAAAATCGTAATTATATGAAAGATACTTTTAAGTTGTAATTTTTATTTCTATAGAGAATCTTCTAAGAAATCTGTTTAATGATGACACATATCTAGAGTCGAAACGTACATAACAAATATTTTCTATTATTATTGCATTTGTTGGACTTGTTTAAACATTTTCATATAAATTTAATACATAAACCTTCCATTGCCAAAATTCTTTTACTCAAATAAATATTTTTTTCTTTCTATCATTGTTCATTAAGTGTAATTTTCAAAGTACACACAATTTTGCGAAAACAATGCAAAAAACTCTTCTACGAGCACAACCTTCGGTTATTTTAGCACAAATATAATTTCTATACAATGTACAAAATATTATTTAAACAATAACAATATTGATAATAATTATATGTTATTTTATTCCTACATTGAATTTTACATCTGGATGCATTTTAAGTTCTCACAATTTGCGCTAAAATGTCTTTGTTTTGCGGTAAACGATTTAGACGGAGAGCTGGTGACGGAGAATTTATTATATTTTTTTATCCGAAGAGACAAACGAACATTGCTAGAACGCAATTTCCAAAACCAGAACAGTCTAATTTGTTAGAATTTTTTAGACGTTTTTTGATTCTTAATTTTTCATGATTCATATCATTTTCCAGTCTTTCATTTTCAATTGTGGTCATAAAATTTCTTCTTTCTAATCTTCTGGTGGACCTTGTCATTGTTTTGATCCTTTTTAGGGACGTCATTGTTTTTTGATCACTAAAAATAGAAAAAAAATTGTAAAAAAAAATAATTTAATTATAAAGGAGTTTTGGATGTTTTAATTAAATAAAAACGCTCATGATTTTAATTTTTGTAAGGAAATATAAAAAAATGTAACCAGAATATTTTACATCTTATTTAAAGTTAGTTTTGAACATGATTTGGTAGTCAATTGCAAAGTTCAATCAATTTTTTTAATATAATTTTGTTCTGAACGTTTCAAATTATTATACACAGATTCATAGATAATTTTCAATGATATATAATAACATATACATGTTTGAACAATTTTTTTTTAATTTAACAAAAACATATTGAATGTAACCAGCTTGACATATTGTCTTAAACAACTGTCCTAGTATTCAATTTTAATTTTCAATCTTTTTTTTGAATATAATTTTGTTCTGAATGTTTCGAATTGTTATACACAGATTTTTAGATAGTTGTATCTTCTTGTCATTGATATTTAAGAATATATACATGTTCGAACAATTTTTTCAAAAAAATCAACAAAAACATAAAAACGTGTAACCAGAAAGTTTGATATTTTATACTTAGTGGCTCAGTATTCAATTTTAAAATATAATCAATTTTTTTAATATAATTTTGTTCCAAGCGATTCAAATTGTTATACACAGATTTATAGATAATTTTGTGTACTTTTTAATTCTTTATAATAATTTATACATATCTGAACAATTTATTTCTAAAATTTATCAAAATTTAACATGAAATCTTGTACATGTACTTTTTCATGGTTTTTTAATTATCACAAAGTTTTATGAGAAAACACATAATTTTTCGTATTTGTTATCATAGAAAACCTATTAAGCTACATTACAATAAATTTGCAATGTTCTAGAATGATTAGTATTATTTTAATAAATATTTAAACGCCTTTCACAATTTATTCACAAAAAAGGATGATGGTAATACTTTTAATTTTCTCGTCGTCTGAATCAGAATTTCTAAATATGAATATCATGATCCTAGTTTTTTCAATAATTTTATCAATTTGTTATGGGTACAAGGTTGTTTTCATAGTCGTTCAATAATAATCTTTCTTCCAAGAATCTATATAATTTATTACACCAAAATCTTTCCCGAGAAATCAGATACGAACTATTTCTAAGAAAAATGCAGGAATTTTAAATAGCAAAATATTTGTAAATATTTTCGTGTAATTAAAACAGTTTAATTAAATAATATTTAATATAAAACTGTAAAGCTAATTAAAAATAAGTAATTCATGCAGATCTGTGGAACCGTTTTGCTA